GTCACACAATGATGGTTTTTGTTCTTTGGTGTCTGCTACCTGATCCCTTCAACACCTCGTGTTCACACAGGCTGGTGTGCTTCTTCTCTGTGGGTAAGCCCGCTATTTTCTAAATGTGTAATATATATAATGAACAAGAAAGGTAAGGTACACTTTTTGTGGAACATATTTCTAGTGGGAGAAGACAACGATCAAACAAATACATAAACAAGATAATTCCAAATGATAAGGACTACTAAGAAAATAAAGTAGAGTGATGCCCTGAAAGAGTAGAGATAAAATGCTACTTTAGATACAGAAATGACTTGAGGCTCACTTCATCTCTTTTCTCTTCACTCACTAACTTTTTGTTTGATTCCTCTAATGTTGTGGGCACTTTGGGGAGTTTTATTATTTTGTGCATATTTACTTGGAATTTTGTAGCTGTAGAATTAGACATAAAATTTTCCAAGATACTTTAGGTTACTGTGAGACTTGAGTGGAACTATAAAAACTTTGTAATCAGACATAGTAGGGGAAAAATACCTACCTATAAGAGGAGAAGGTGTGTAGAATATTAAAGATGCAATATTTAGTTTAGTGTCCTTTACAAATATATACGATATGACTAAATTTATCAAAGATTCCATCAAATCATAAGCACAGTATTTTTATGTACAATGAATAACAATAGCAACAAAAACCTATGATGATTATTGCTGTTGGTACTTGCTGTGATCGAGTTGATTCTGACTCACGCAACCCCGTGTGGGCAGAGGAGAACTGCTCCATAGAGCTGTCACTGCTCTGACCTTTCAGAAGCAAGTCACCAAACCTGTCTTCCAAGGTGACGGTGGTGGACTTAAACCACCAATTGTTTGAACAATAGTTGAGCTCTAAACCATTTGCACTTTTCAGAAACTCTATTTCATTGGCAAGACACCATAATTATAAGATTAATCCTTAATTTCAAAGGTATCTGCTTCCAATTTGAAGTTGTTTAAAAATGTGCTATCTGTATCCTCACATATTTATTATGTTTCATATGATAAATTTATATATGTAAAAATGTAATGAATACTGGAAAACTGGACACTTATTTGTGGGTAGATTTTTTTTTGTATTTGTTTCCTCCAGTTTTTTTCTGGAAAAAAATAAAATCTTAGTAGATGTGAGGTGTCAATAAAGCTTTAAAATTTTCCCCTTTTGTTATTTTTTGATTCCTCACATTTTGCCTAAACACAAAATGATCCATGTGCCCTTCATGGTCAAGAAAGGCATTTTGACCAAACTTTGGATACTAATCAGGTCGTATTATGCAGCCTCATGTGGCTTAGAAAGTATTAGTTAGTCTACTGGTTCAAAATATAACAGTAAGCAGTGAGGGAGAATCTGTAGCGTCTACAGGAGAAAACAAGCCAGTAGTCATGGCCTGTAACTGCATTAGACAGGACAAGATGTCAGCAGCAGATCTCCATCCTCTGGGACTGGGTTGTTCATGAAAGAGGGCATGAATACCGATAACTGTTCGTCTCTATTCCACTTTCCATCGACCCAACCCTGTGTTGGTTAAAGCCTGAGCCATCATGAGGTGGGGGCAGCTCTAAGAGATGACCACAATGTGGAGCTGTCTCAGCGAAAGCATAGAGCAGTTACCACCACACCACCCAAGTATCCAGAACTCTTCATGATGAATTCAACTCCACGGTGTACATGGGACTTTCATCCATCTACACAAAGGAAGATTCATGTCTACCTCTGTGATTCTGTACTAACCTGCATGAGTTTTTTCTCCTAGAAACCAGACCACAGGTCTTATGATTTTTGATGTCCGGCCTAGTAAATATTCAAAAGCATGTACAACATCTGAAAAGGTAAGTTATATAGGCAGATCAAAAATTTTACTTCATGGTGGTAAACTATGAATAATAAAGTAATGTCTATTACCTCCATACAAAACCATCCCCCTAATTCCTAGCAACATTTTATAGTGTTTCACTATAGAAATAGCATTCTTTTCTATTATTATTATTTAAAAATATATATATATATATATATATAACACCACATTGCTAAATTCAACATTTTAAGGTATACAATTTGGTGATATAAATTATATTAATCGTGTTGTGAAGTTATCTTCCATCTTACTTTGGAAACATGTTCAAAGTTCTGTCTCCTGTGTGTTTACCATCTAAGGTGAGATATATAAACATGTAAATGAAACTGTAAAATAAAAAGTGGCAGGCCTGTCTGGATAGGACAGGCTGGATGAACAATCTGGAGGAGAAAACAA